ATGATTTGGTAGACTTGATCAGCGGTTCTTTTTGTGATAGAACCATCGCATGTGGAGTCTACGTTAGCCCTACTTATCGGAGTCAAACCAATGTAGAAGTACTACACCTAAATCCATTTCTGCAATTCGTGTTGTGGGCATTGGCGGAGTAAACCATTGTATCGTTTCCAAGCATCTGAATAGCATTCCGAGTCCAGTTACTGGAATATGGTAATCTCTTCCCTTGGCTTTGCAATCCTTTTTGGCGGGAAATATTTGTTAAGGAATTTCTGACTCAATTGGTTCCATATAGTGATGCTATGAGGTGGACAAGTGTCTAACTATTCTCTGATTGAGTCTCTCAATGTGTATGGGAAAAACATCAGTCTGATTGCTTTACTGGACATCCGGATACTCGATAGTTGCACACATATCCAGAAATCTTAATATATGAGCGTTGGGATTCTCCGAAGTTCTCCCAAAGAATTGTAGCGCGTTTTGGAATATGTTGATAACATCAGTCCTTAGGTGAAAGTTTGCCGACCAAATGCCGGATATACTATGCTAGATTGGTTTTTCACAATTGGTGGAACTATGTACTCCCCTATGAGCCTTGGATTTTCATTAACTGCATTTACATTCGGTTGTGCTGCTTCCAGATTAGTCCCAATGACTAATTGATTAGAATTTTCCTTTACCATGTCTTCCTCTTTCTGTTGTTGGTGTGTTTCCAACTTTTATCTTTTTCGAAAGTTGAATGTTAGTTCGATCTCCGAGTCAAATTGAACAAGATCATTGATTTTTGAATTTCGCATACGAGGTTTTGAAAAAAGTAGTAGGAAACAACGTAATATTTTTCTAATATAATAAAATAAACAAAAAAAAAATACAATAAAATTCGAATTAAAACAAAAATTAACTAAACTTATAAAAATAATAGACAGTGACAAAAACTTAATCTTTTGAAAAATCGCAAGTACACGGGGATGTCGAATAGAATGTCGAATCCACGAGGACTATGTGTTTGATGGAATTAAAATTAATTGCAACTTTAATCGAACAACAAACAAAATTTGTGATTTTTTATACTAATCCCTAAATTATCAATTACAATAAATGAAAGTATGTAAATGTATTTTTATTCAAATATGTAAGATG